ACTCCAAGATCAGAGGAATTGAGAATCAGAAATGGTGATCTCAAAGACAAAATCTTCGGCATTAAATTAAGATCATGATTCCCCTTAATAAACTCAACAGTATAGGTTGATAAGGGGATAAGCTGAAGTTTATCGTCACGAGTACTTTGGCATGCTGAGGAACTCTCACAAATTGGCCCTTACAGCTCAAACATGAGATTTATGCAAATCTTCACCACAAAACACTCAGCATTCTCAAGGCCAGAACAAGAACTGTTAGCCAGTTGTTCACAGCACTATTTTCCTCAGTATCATGCTCAGATGAGGTTATCTGGCTAGACTTAAGTTAATGTGCATATCTATTTCATCCTGATCAACACGCATGCCATCGGCAGAGAAATGGCCAGCATTGTCCTTCCTCGGCCGACTGGATGCGAGATTGGTCGACCACTTCACCTCCAAGAGATCAGCTGCAATCTCAGCACTCTCTAAAGAACTTGCTCTCAGGACAACAACGCTGGCATCACCCTCTCCTTCCTTAGCACTATCTTGTTTCATTGACCTCCGTCCAAAAACAAGCCCAAGTAACGGTGTCTGGCCCGAGTTAGTCCCAGGCACTATATCCGTATTGGCCATATCAACGCGGTGTTTGGACTTAATTGGCCTTCTAACATGATTGGATTGCCAATCAGCCTCATCACCAGAAGAGGAAGGATGCAACACGGATTCCTCTTCCTGTCCATCTACATCTCTGAGAAAGTAAGCTTCCCCTTTATGATCAAGATACATGTGGAAATCCGCGTCGACACCATTGACATTAATACTAACCACCTTCTCCTTTGTCTTCAAAACCCCTTGAAATTTCCCAAACCGGACATACCAAGGGGATGATTTGAAGCTCCCATCTGGCTGCTCGACTACAATTATATCCACAGCACCACCAAACGGGTGAAAGGGGCCAGAGACGGTGTACACTCCACGGGAGATGTAGCTGCCTAACCTTCCCACTGCATACATGGTCCTGTATATGGATTTCTCACAACACCCAGATCACAACAGCTCAGATAACCATAACTAAGGGTGTCGACAACCTTCGCCAGGATTATTCATGAAGCTTTATTGTTTAGTGTATATACCATCAGCAGCCAAGCAGAGAGATTACAATAACACATGGCAGCATGATGTCAAGAAGCTAAATTGTGATCAGAAAATTAAAAATTCTGATTTTAAGAGAAAAAGAAACTGGACAACCTTGGCCAGGAAAACTCACGAAGCTTTATTGTTTAATATTATATACCATCAGCAGCCAAGCAGAGAGATATAACAATACATGGCAGCATGATCTCAAGAAGCAAAATTGTGATCAGAAAAATCAATGTTGTGATTTTAAGAGAAAAAGAAACTAGATGTAGGCAGTGCGTTTTAGCTCAAAAGAATAGAAAGTATTTAATAGAAGGGAGACAGAAAAGTATTCGGATGGAAACAAAATAGAAAAAAAAGAAAGGAAAAAAGGGACCAAACTCATGAATCGTGAGAAGCCCGACAACTGAAAATAATATAGCGTGAATGAGAAGACCAAATCTCTGTCCCTTCCTCACCTGTGAGTTGAATACAATGAGAAAATATCATGATCGATTACGAAAAGAAAAAGGCAAATAGAAAAAAGATCAAGCAGCCGAGGCGCGAAGGGAGAAGGGTAGTTGGCGCAATAAAAGCATATTCGGTTTGAGATTTTGGAATCGATCATCATTTCATTAATTAATTAATTAATTAATATATCGTGTTTTCGTCAAGCTATAATAAAAACGAAAATTGAAAAATGAAACAGACCTGAACTGGGGAGAAGGGCAGAGAGAGAGAAACGGCCAAGAGGAGCCAACAGTTTCGCGATCTCAACAGAGATGAATTTGGTGTTTTCTTGTAAATGTAGAGAGATGGAGATCGGACGACGACGACGATGATGACGAGGAGCACTGAGTCGACACGTAAGCATGGGCATGTCTTCGTGTTTGATCCGCCGAGTTACGTGTGCCAGCCGGACTCGGAACAAAACAAACCCTTTCTTCCACTCATCTCATTCTTCAGAAAGGATCGGGTTCCCAATCCTCCACCACCAACTCACTA